AGGTCTTAGCTTCAAAATTACGGCTTATTTTTTTGGTGTTACATTTCCATTTTTGGAGTTAGAGAAGGATCTACAAGACCAATAAAAAGTTGTGGGACTAGGTGTCTTGCACTATAATAATAATAAACAGTTTTTTTAAATTTGAACGGCCAATACACTTCACAAAACCAAAACTGTCCTCCTTATAATCTTTTAAAGTCATGTGATAATCATTGACCGTTATATATATATATATTAATATAGATACTAATTATAACGTATAACGTTACACGCCACATTCCTAACACTGAAAATTTAATTCCAGAATTTAAATTTATATACCTCTTTTAACCATTCATTATTAAACCGAGTTTACTCTTTTTTTTTTCTTGTGACTTTCAACAATTTATAAGAACGCGATTTTAAATTTGCATCATTTGAATAGACAATGGCCACTAAAGCAGCATTCAAAAGATTAACAAAGGAATATATATCTATACAAAATGTACATGCGATTGACAAGTATTGTCGTTTGTATTAATCTATTTCCTATAATGTATGTATAAAAGTTCTTATACTTTCATCTTTTAAAATTCAAAAAGAATCCAGTGCCATATTTAATAGCTAAACCCTTAGAAAACAATATTTTGGAATGGTAAATATCATTAATTCAAATTTTTTGTCATTATTGTAATAAATTATTTACTATTTTTTTATTTTTAATAGGCATTATGTTATTCGTGGTCCACAAGATACACCTTATCATAATGGAGAATATCATGGTAACTAATTTAAATTAATAGATCTTTTTTTCTCTGATGTAAATTTATTTATTTATATATTAATTTGATAAATTATATAAACAAAGGCGTTTTACAATTTCCAGTTGAATATCCTTTTAAGCCGCCTTCAATTCGCATGACAACGCCTTCTGGTAAATCAAAATAAAAAATAATAATTAAAAGAAACTTATAACTTATAATCTATTTATTGTTTATATTAACAATAATATAACATTATTACTGTTGTTGCTGTTAGGACGATTTCAAACTGATACAAGGCTGTGTTTGTCAATGTCAGATTTTCATCCAAGTTCTTGGAATCCTAGTTGGGGTGTTGCAACCATATTAAATGGATTATTAAGCTTTATGGTTACATAATAATTCTTTTATTATCATCGTCATCATTACTTTTCCATATTTGTCATAATAAATATAAATTTATCTATTTAAAATTTTTAATTATATAGACTAGTGATGAAACCACAACAGGTAGTATTAAAACATCAGACATTGATAAAAAAACATATGCTTCAAGGTCGCACCAGTTCAATTTGAAGAATCCAAAATTTAGAGGTAACAATGATGATGATGATGATGACAATATTGACATTGTTAATGCTATTATCATAATAATTAATATATATATATATATTTTGATAAATTATAGAAATATTTTCTGAACTTTGTGTAACAGAAACAGTACCGGTTGAAATTCTATATCCAATTAATAATAGTAATAATTTATCATCATCATCATCATCATCAACATCATCAACATCATCAACATCATCAACATCATCAACAACAACATCATCATCGACACCTAATGTGGCAAATAATAATAATAAATTTGATACTCAATTATTAAAAGAAACAACGACATCTAATAATTTACTCCAAAACAATAATCAAATCAAAAAACGTAGTAAACTATTAAGTCAAAATCTTGGATCAGAAAATGAAAATAATATAAATCAATCAAATAGCAACAACAACAACAATAATAATGTACAAAGGAGTTTATTTGATAAATGGAGAAATTGGATAATAGTAACTTTGGTATGTTTGTACCTAGTGTTATCTAAAATATTGGCTAGGAAATATGAGGCTATTACTTCTAGTGATCATGGAGAAATGTTTCATCCCTAAATACAAATGATGTTCTATTTTTTTATCCATTTATTATTAAAAGCAAAAAGGAAATTGTATAATAATAATAAGAAAGGTAAAGTTATTTTGTTAATAAAATAATATGATTGATAATATAATAAATTACTATTATTATGATTATGATTCCTTTTCCTTGCTTTTCTTTTTCATTCTATAATATCTTTATTTAAGAATGAAATTAACATTCATATATAATAAATATGTTTAGCTTTACATTGTAACCATAATCTTTATTAATTTATTTAATTACTTACATAGTATAAATAGATTTAGAATTATTTTATAGAAAATCTTGTTTCTTCTATATATACGAACTATTTTATAATATAAAAATTATAAAAGCAATCTTTGTTTATTTACACAAGTTAATCAAACAATATAATAATTATTGATGAAATCAATTATTCATTATAATTAATTATCAATTCATTGCTTATTTAATTTATTTTTGGAGAATCCTATAATGTATCCACCAAGTCACACTTAAAATGGATTATTACTTCTTCTGTATAGTTAGTTGTGTTATACTAATACCTGTCGGATAATAATAATATCGCAGATACTTGGATATTATACTGATATCAAATTGGTAAACAGACCAAAAACCAATAAATATCCAGACACGATTGAATAATTGGATACTATATTTTGTAAACAGATGATCGATATAACTACTATTGTGAATCACCACCAACCTTCATATTCTTAACTGCGTTAAGATTGTAGTTAAGAATTCTCTTAGAGATTGTAGACGAAATGTGTCTAATATCTGTTCTCTATACATTTATCATTTTGTGCAATGAAGAAACCCATGTACTAATATATTTCATTTTTCCTCCAAGGTTTCCCTTTGGAAAAATTCATCGATCATAATGTATTAATTGGGTAGATCTTGATCGCAATAAAATCCAAATCCGACGTACATGAATACAAAAATTTTCTTAGAGAAGAAAAAAATTTATTTATTTATGTATGAATTAAATACATGATATAATGCGGTTACATCACGGGTTACTATGTTTTTTGTGGCTTTCCTTTACTGAATTAATGTTCTGGAAATTGTATCAACCAATGAGATCTTGGATCATTTATCACTTTCTTTTTATTTGTATTATTAAAGTAAAGGCGATCGCGTAAACAAAACTTTGAATAAGAATAACGTATAAATGTATATGTTGTTTATGAAGTTTGTAACCAATTAATTTATGAGTGATATTAGCGACATTAATATGGCGATAAATTAACTTATTAAATAATAAATTAACTACTATAAGAAATAATAACCAAACTCATTGTGATGTCTTTACTTCATAATAAAAAAACTTTTCTAGTTATTCTTGAACTTCAGAATTTTTCTTTTCTTTTTGATTGAGATTTCTCCTATCATTACTCATGGTTACTGTATTATCACCAAGTTCTTCTTTAAGACTATTTTCATGACAACGTCGAGAATCTATCCAATTAAGTAAATAATATAGAATTATTATCACAACATCACAAACAAGCACTGATACGTATGTGAATGATGCTAATAGATCAAACGGTGGTGGTCGAAATACTAAAAAAAAAAAAATTATTAGCCAAGCAGAACATTTTTTCTTTACACATAATTTTATTTTACTTCAATGATTACCTAAACTCACAATAGAGAACACAGATCCCAACATGTCAATAGTTAAGAAAATAAGTGAAACACCTCTTACTAATTTAATCCCTATTTTTTATTGAGAAGAAAACTTAATGATATTGTAATTTAGCGAAAAAACAAAAGCAAATTGTCTTATTGAATATTCACATGACTTACGATAAATTTCTATAAATTGCATCATAAACCCACTGGTTAATAAGACAACAGATAAGATTCCAACTAAAACTTCTGGCCATTTTACATTATGTTTATTGGATTCCTGTATAGATGATGATGAGAAATTAAAACCTCATGTATGTGTGTTTTTTAATGTCTCTAATAAGTCAACAAAATGATTTTTACTCTAATTCCAAATATACCAGCAACTTGAATTCCACCTAAAATCAAACTTCCAACAACATAAAACATAACGATTTTCAATTTTCTTCCGATAAATATTTTTGATTGATCATAATACAAACATTGAGCATAACAAAGGAAACTTATCATCAGAAATAATTGTGGTTGAAGTATTAATGGTATTGATAAATCCAACACTACTGAATATATCCCAAACATCAAACCCGATATTGTCTAAGTAAAATTTTTTTAGTATAAATGTATATATTATTTTCAATCAATAATTGCTTTATGATATTTACCCATAATAACATCATTAAAGGTGATAAACCTTTATTATTTCATTTATTAGATCTATGTTAATATTTAAAATTCCCAATTACTAGATCATAATAATGAAATCCTACCTTTTGTATTCTTATTATGCCAATTCTTGTATGCTAACATAATAATGACATTTAATATCATAAACATTTGAAATATAGTGATAAATAATCCAATAATAAAAACAAACCCTGAGGTGCCAGTTGAAAAGACCAAAATATAGTTCCTATCAATCCAAATACATTTTCCAAAATAAATGGAGTGCTCATGTTTTTTTTAATTTTTCAATTAATTCACTTATAAATTCACTTGTAAATTTCAAAAATCGTTGTTTTACAATGGACAAAAAATTTATTATGAATATTGTATCACACGGATTAAAATTTAGTCATCACCAATAAAGATGGCTCCTCGATTAATTGCGACTAGTTGCAACTAATTCGGCATATAAAGTTGAATTGCTAATCGCGGTTCCCATCTTTAAATTACAAGACCATATTAACAGAATTTTTTTAGATTATAATCAATGGTGATCGCTAAAAAAATTAGGTACAGTCGGTCATACAGCTCGAGTCATCATCTAAATAGCAAAATTTCTCAAATTTTAGAATATCATTTCTAATTCAGGAAATAAAAATTTCTTAAATAGGGAATGATACTCTCCTAAAAAATTGAAGATCATCCCTTAATAGTTAACGATAGAAAGTTACTAATATTCAAGCCACCATAACTTTTAAGTAATAAATATTTTACATCAAACTTTTCATAGAATTTAAAACTATGAAGAGTTTGAGTCCAAAAGTGCTGTGTGTCCATATGATGACTTCAAAAATATTTGAATAAAATTGGTCGGTTTTAGATGACTTGAGCTATACCCGTCTATTTGTATACTTTTGGGAGTATATGAGTTTGTTTGTATGCAAATAGACAGAGTACGTTATCACGTGTTTATCCAATGTATAGTTAATAAAGTATTAAATTTATTCTCTCAATATTATCATCTCAAATTTGTTTAAAAAGCAAAGTGATCTGAAAAAATTATTACATATTTCGTTTTTACATGTATTTCATAAAATTTGTTCATAATCCCTAAAATATTAACCAATATATTTCAGCGACAAAAACGTAAATGAAAAAGGCTTTCAGAATTGGGTTGGATCTGTTGGCTCTATGAAAATAGGTTAGAGTTTCTATTCGAATAAATCAAACAATTTGAGTAAAATGGATACACAGTGAGTCTCGGTTTAACAGACATGTTGGTTCCAGGAAATTTATCCGCTAAACCGAGAAGCGAAACATGATAAAATCACGTGTTATAAATTAAATACGTACAAATTTTAATATAAAAAAAAATAACTAGTGATGGGCGTAAAAATTATTTTGAAAAATGACCAAGTTATTTAAGTACTTAATAACTCTATTATTAAGTGTTAAAAACACAAACATGCAGATCTCTTATTGGTAGCAAATCTGTCTGTTTAATCAAATATTAATTTGATAAACAAGTTAATAATTAATTTAGTACTGTGCATAAAATTCAGTGTGCAGAGTGTGCATGCTAACCAAATCTGCTGAATTTGGTTAGCACAGCACATTCCACATGCTGAATTCTATACACTGGGATTGATTGACAAAATGGATCTTTTGGATTAATAACTCTCACTCAGAGTGCAACGTTTAATAAGTGGTTATTAACTATTAATGACTTGGAGTTATTAAGTGTAGGGTTAAAAATTCCCATCACTAAATATAACGATAATATTAATATATTGTTGACATAAATTCTTAATTCGACATTGTTTTGCTTCTTGGGTACTTCTATAAGAAATTTCTCTTTTTAACTTCAATACATTTTTAATCATTTGAGAATCAAACTTCTAAATCTTTTTGTTGTATACATTTAAGTGCATTCTTCAAACCATTTATAGCTTCTGTACTTGTTACAATCGGTTCACTTTATCTTCTCAGCATCCTCATTATCTTCAACTTCGGGTTGTTCCAACAAAATATTTACAATTTCTTGTTCCGTCATTTCTTCTTCGAATTCAAGATTTTGATCAATCATAATAAATTTGTCAGCATTTATTAATTATTAAAAATACATTACGTTATTACGCATAAAATTAGGCTATCCAAAAAAGGCAAGAATCATTGCTATCCGCAATATCGAGAAATTTTTATTTGTAAGTGACATATTAATATATGGATTTTTAAAAAATATCAAGGTATAAGGTTCCCAGACCAAAATTGAGTTGAAATCGAAATATCACTCACTTTGTATCAGAAACATACATGTAAGGATTTTGTTGCAGACGTCTCCAAATTTGTAATTTGGCCAATAAAGGCAATGAGACTCCTTCTATTAGTAAGATCTTCATGATTTTTCAATCCTTTTAGACCCCGGAGATGATGATGGTATATACATATTTTATTGCCTGAAATAATTATAGAATCACCACAAAAATTTACCCTAATTAAGAGATGATATTCGATTTTGAAGGCCATTCATTTATAAGATTATTCGGGAAAAGTCCAGCCAATCCAAGGATATACAACAAGGGTTAACCTTGCCATTTGAGACGTCGATCCTAAGGTTAAACCAATCTATTAAAATTGGGTTACACATAGCCACCCAACCACCCAGACACCCCTGTTAAAAGGTTGAATTTCATGTTTGAGAATATAGATCTTTGGTTTGGGTGGTTAAGTTATCAAACCTTATTAATCAGTTACTCCTTTTTTGTTATTATAAATTTTGGTCTTTACGACACTTTTCTGTTAATTGAATGTTGACCAAATTATAATCATCAATTCAAAAGAATATAATGATGTCAATAACTCATTTTGGGGTTTTGAGCTCGAAGTACCTTTTTGTTAGGATGGAACCCGGATAATAATATCCCATTGGAAATTGTTGCTTTACTGACTTTAAATAACATGAAAAATTATCGGAATCATTCATGATATCACTTAATGATATTAATCAGCAAATAAAAAATATAGTTTAAATGATCAAGACTTTTTTAAATATGAATACTTGTCTGACATATTGATGATATTGAGATAATTTGTAAAAATTAAACACTATCGTTCTTTTTTTCTTTTATTAATTAATATCAATAATGATTATTTCAGCTTCTAAAGATGCAAATAATGAAATGGAATAAAGAAATTAATAATAATAATATATATATATATAAAATAAATCAATTCTTAAAGGTATTTATTAATATAATATCATATCTAATTTCAAATTGTAATAATAAATACTTTTAAGATTTATATCAATAATTAACGTATATATGATAATTATTATTTCTCTCTTAAATAATAATCAGGAGTGGCTATTTAAATTGACAATTTGGGATCTATTTTTTTTTATTAAAAATAAAACAATATTAAATTAATTAATTGAAAAATCTGTTGATACGCTCAAATAAAAACCAACCTGTATTGATTTATGTTATCCTTGGTCAATATAACAAGTTCACGTTTTTTTAAAGGTTTTTTGGTTAAAGGACAAATATTTTTCTTTGGTCCTGTAGAAAGACATTTTACCCAACTATCATATCTAAACAACCCCCGCCCCCACATTAAATAAATAAAAATTACGGAAAATTTTTTAATTATAATAGTCTTAATTATAACTTTTTATTACCCCATCACATGCCCATATGGAGAGATTGCAGGACGTTTAACTACTTCAAATGAAATTGTATCAATAAAACCTGGCAATGGATTTTCATCATCGTCATTTTGTTCAATAACATCTACATCATCGGTTCCTGCTACATCTTGCATTAGGTCTTGTTGTTGTGATTTTACTCTTTTTTTTTTTTTATTACTACCATTCCATGATTTCAAAACAAAATTACCAGATTTATCATTATCTTCTTTCTCCTTGTCCACATCATCTTCATTATCACCATTTTTAATAGGATTTCTCTTTCGTTTTTTTCCATTTGTAGTAGTAGATGAGGTGATGGCAAATGATTTTGTTGATTTTTCTCGTTTAGGACAAACATGACTTTCAGGAATATTACTAGTTTTACTTTTTCTAACACGACTTTCATGTTTTGAATGTTTTCTAATCATTTCTTCCTTTTCGGTTGTTCGTTTATTCATAGATTTAAACAAATATTGTGCCTTACCATTTTTTCCAATTACATAATTTGGATCTTTAATTCTTCCAGATTCAATTAAATATCGATAAAAATTGGAACACTGGTAATGAATAGTAATAATAATTTTTTAATTTGTTAATAAAAATAAAAAAAAAAGAATAAGTTATTGAACTTACTTGATAACCAACACGACCAGGAATTGCCATTGAAAATATTCCCCATTGACATTCATTACCTAATTCTGCCAATCTATTAAAGAATAATATTTCCTCTTCCTACAATATATATGTATTATCAAATAAGTTCAAATAATAATAATAATAATTTTATTAATTAATTACCTCAACCCATCTTCCTAATCTTTGTTCTTCACCGGGTGCATTGAACCGATAATAGTATGCATTCGGATTTTTGTCAATTAATTTATAAGCTCTAACACGAGCTTCTGACCATCCTTGAAATGCCTTATTAAAATTTCTATTATTTTTTTCAACTTGTTTCACTGCCTCATCCAATGTAAGACGACCTTTCATTCTTGAGTGTCTATATACATAAATGTATGTATTTAAAAATTACTATTCTGCTGCCTTTTTTTTAAAAAAAAAAATCATCATAGTTATATATACATCGTTGTATTTACTTATAATGACTTGAAGAATCTCTAGTTGTCTTTGTGGATTTTTTTCGTTGCCTTTTTGGTGTCATGATTTTGTCATCATCGTCATCAGTTTGCATTTCTTCCACTGGTCCTTTTTGAGATGATAATAGTGGTAAACTTTTATGAACTACTGTTGATTTTTCTAGATAAATGAATGTTTTGATTATTGGATTGAATGGTTGAATTATTGAGCGAATGAATAATTTGATTGATTGTTGCTTGCTTACCATCTTCTTTATTATGCTTGAATACGATTTTTCTACGTAATTCTTTAAAATAATCACTATTATGCTTAAACATTTTTTCAATTACTAACATCTATTGTTTTTATTTTTATTATATTAATATTTATTAGAAACAGAAAATCAAAAAAGTTAATTTTTTCCTGGAAAAATAGATATACCTCATCACCGTTACAATCTTCTAATGCTTCGGCAATTTCTTCGTCTGTAGAAAACCAAAATTCAGAACAAATAAATTTGGCCTTTCGTTGAAATTCACGTTTTTCAAATTCTGCAAACTATTATAATTATTATTATTATTATTATTATTATTATTATTATTATTATTATTATTATTACTACTACAACAAAGATTTTGATTGATTGATATATATATATATGCGTATGTGAACGTGTGCCATTACCTGTTGTTGTTGTAATGTTATATGTTGTTCAATTATATCTTGTTCAATTTCAGCAAATAAATTTGATTTTCGAATATGTTCACTTTTTTTTTAATGTATATATAAATACATGGTGTAAATATATTTGATTAATAAATACAAGCTATATATATATTAAGTAAGAAAGTGAATAAATTTTTATCATCACAGAATGCACATACCTTTCTTTTAAATTTATCCGAGTGTTATTGTTATTATTAATATCATTATAATCGTTAATTGAATCATCAGTTATTAATTTATTATTATTTGTTTTATTGGATTCTAATAATGATTTAAGTTTTTTCTATGATTATAGGAAAAGAAGTATATAAATCATTATTATTGTCCATTATCAATTATTGTATATGATAGAAAAAAAATAATCTAACCGCAACATCTGAAAGTTTTATTGTAGGTGGTGGAATTGATAAAAGCCAATGAATACATAATGGTGACTTTTCTAATGGATAATAATCTATAAATACATGTAATGCATATATATAATGCATCAATTAATTAAATTTATTTGTTTATATAATTTGAAAAGCAATATATAAACCGTATTTTTTCCTCTTACCTTCGGGAAAAAACTTGGTCATTTAGTACAAAAAAAGTTTACACAAAAGTGTTAAGTTATAGTTATAAAAAAAAATAAAGTTGTTTTTGTTGGAAAAAAAGCAGATTTATGGTTTAATAAAATGACGTAAAAAAAGAGATCAGGAATAGAATAATTTTATCTGTATTACACACGCACACACATGACACAGTTTTGTGCACAATTCAAAAATTCAAAATTTTTATTGATTTTTTTCATCATCGTTAATAAATCATAAATCATAATTATTTTCTAATTCAATTTTTTTTTTCCTATATTATTGATTGCTATCACCGCTACAATCATCATCATTCTAATACCATTGTTATCAATATTCCTATTTAATATGTAGCCAACTACTACACTTATACTCGCTATTCAAAAAAAGTAATAATAGTATTATGATTATTATTATAAGAATTAACACAATCAAGATTTAATAATTTGATTACTAAAAAACCTCTTAAAGAAAAGAATATAAATATATATTTATATATATTTATATAGATTATTATTATATATACATATCATATTTCATTTATATTATATTATATATATATATGTATATACATATAATTATTTTTAGCTTCTTTTCCTTCTCTTATATTCCATTGACGATCCGTCACTATTATCTGGCGGATCAGGTAATGGCGGAGGACGTGTTTGTGAAGACGGTAATGAAGATGATGACTTATTTATTATCCCTACCGAGGAAGGAGGATTATTGTTAACGTCTGATGATGATGTCGATGATGATTTATTAATAGTGTAAGATGAAGGTGACGGAGAAGTTGATGACCTTGTTGGAGGAGTTCTTTGATGATGATGGTGATGCTGGTGATGCTGGTGATGTGATGATGGCGAAGATATTGAGATTGTATTATTGTTGTTATTATTAACTTTATATCTATTAGTAGGTTCAGAATTTAATAGATTAAAATTTGGACCAAAACTTGGTTGTGATGATCTTCTATGAGGTGAAGGCAATGATGAATGATGAAGATCATGAGAGGAACGATGTGGTTGGGTGGAATTGTACGATGACGTTGACGACGATGTTGATGATATAATAGGTCTGTTATTATTGTAAGTGTCCATTGAAGCAGACCTAGCATTTGTACCATTGTCACTACCGTTATTATTATTATTGTTTTTTTTTTGATTTAATATTGGTTCGGGAGAACGATGACGAATAATCGGAAGGTTCCCAGAGGTGGAGGAAGTAGGTTGAAACGGTGAAGGAGCAAAAGGAAATTCGGGCAATTTAGCTAAAGCACTTGGAGGATTAATTTTTGGAGTGCGACTGTGTTGAGATGGGTATGGTGATGAGGAGGATGAAGACTGTTGTTGCTGTTGTTGAGTCATACGATAATCCATTTCTGAAGGTTGTTGTTGTGATGGCGGTGGAGGCGCTGCAGATTCTACACCGATCATAGGTTGAGGAGTTGATAATGTTCTTTGTGGCGTGTAAGGATGTGTATAATGTGGTATCATTGAAGAAGAATGAGATGGAGGATCAACTTGAGCCAACTTTGCAACTTCAGCTTGTAAAAAATCAACTATAATTATTAAATATTATTGTAATTGAATGTCAATAATTATATTAGTGTATTGATTTATACAACATATAGATATAAAATATACCTTCAAATTTTCTACGTGGATCATCTAAACAAAAAATACAATTATTAGTTAATAAATAATACCGATAATAATATATGATTAATGATGATATACAGTCATACCTTCTTTAGCCATTGATACTAGCAAATTCGTTATTATTGTAATAACCTTTATTAAAAATTATTATTAAATAATTATTATCTTCCGGGTTAACTAGTTAACAAGCTAGATGATTTAATTTAATAATTTAACAACTAAATAATTAATTACCTGTTGATGTTTACTTTGTAACATTCTAAAAGATAAAGATTCGTCATATAAAACTTTATAATTTTCGGTTATCTGTCTTGTTTTTTCCTTCAATTCCTTCATCTGATTAGTTAAATATTCAATTCTATCATCACGTAAACTATCTATTACAGATGGATCATTCATACCACTGCCACCAGTGGATTGATTTATACCAGAAGTTGGTAAACCGCCACTTCCACCACCGATCCCAACAATACCACCAGTTACGCCGCCACTGCCACCCACACCACCACCTTTCATATTCATTGTATTACTTGTAGAATGTTTTGAACTTTTACGTTTAATTAATTGTAAGGCTGCTGGTTGGCCTCTACGAAAATCTTGATGCTTAAATTCCCATGCTTGACTTTCACTTGATGGATTTGCGTGAAACATATCATTTACTTTTAATTAAAATTTAAAATAGAATAAGTTAGGATAATATTTTATACATGCAATCTAGATCAAATAAATATAGACCAATCTACCTTTATGAAATCCATACACTTGATAATTTTTATTTAAAAAAAAGGAATTACAAAATTAATTAAATTCATGCGCGAAATATGTTGATCGATTGATTAATTGATCGATCTATGAGGAATTAAGGAGTACACATACTATTCAATTGCCTTACAAAACTCTGCCAATTATTATGTTTAAAATATTGAGGTAACACTAATTTTGAAAATTCTGTTGGATTGGACACACTAAACACATCACCAGAAGGTGCCCATGAAATTAAATGTTGAATTGATGGATCTTCTACCATTCTAAATAAAATAATTATTAATGATTATAATGATTTATTATTATTATTATTATTATTATTATTAATCACGTTAAAAAAGAAAAAAATCGCGTAATTTAAAGAATCTACAGTTGAGGATCTTTAATTTATAATCATCAAGAGAACAAATAAAATACTTGCGTATAAAGCTTATTAACAAAAGCAGCTTGAGTTTTTTGAGCACCCACTATAGTAGTTGTAGTAGGAGTATTAATAGATGTAGTAGTCAATGCAGCGGATGATGATATTGAATTTGATGAATTAATAATGTTAATGCTAGTGTTAGCAACGGTAGCTGGTATTATTGATGTGGAAGAATTTGTATTATTCTTTGCAATTGATGTAGAAGTAGCTTTTGTATTATTTGATGACGCCGAAGATTTTGTATTTAGTGAGATTGTTGAAATGTTTGGAGGAGAATTGGTTGGAGAGACAGCGGAAGATAGTTGTGGATCTTGATATGGAGAAGAGACAAGAGGGGGAGGAGAAGCTACTATTGATTTGATGTATATGATAAAAAAGTAGTTGTCAATTAATGATTAATCTGAATAATAATAATTGTAATAATAATAATTACCTGAAAGTTCAGATTGTAATATACTTTGTTGCATTGGGTAATCTCTCGAAGTTGTTGTTGTTGCATTATTATTATTTGAATCTATTTGAGAGGAGTTGTCAATATTGATGTTATTATCACTTTCAGTTTCTTTTTCTTTTTTAATGCTCTTGATATCATTATTGTTGTTTTGGTTGTCCATAGTTAAAATGAATATCACAAGCCAGGCTGGCAAAGAAAAGCCAAATAAGGCTACTTTATTATTAAAGTACTATTTTATTATTAAGCTATTTTTTAAAGATGAAATTAAAGAAGAAAAAGAAAAATCAATAATTATTTAATTATTTTTTTTATTTATTTTAAAGGAAAGGAAGAAGAAGCAAAAAAAAATTTTTTTTGTTTATTGTTATTTTTTAGGAAAAAATAATTTTAAAATAATATTATAAATAATTATTTATTATATAAGATGGAAAAAAATCTAAAAAGTCCAAAATATCTTATTTATATTTATACTATTATACTGTTTATACTGTTATTTTTATTTTTATTATTTGTAATATTTATATATTTTTAATTTAGTAAAAAATAAAAATAATCACCTAATGTTTTTTTTAATTAAATATTCTTTGACCAAAAATAAAAATATTAAACAAAGGTGTTGTGGAATAAGTGTGTTAAACGGGAATTTTTTTATATATAATGGGTGTATATGTGCATGTGTGCTTTTAATGTGTTAACGTGTGGATATTTTTTGAGCTGTTAGTAATAACAATAAATATTGTGAAAGATATAATGTTTTTGATTATTTGAAATTTTTTGGAAATTGAAATTTTTTTTTTGTGGAATGTTGTATGTGATAAATTCAAAATTTGGAATTGGAAGATGCGAGTATGTGTGATGATGACGGGATTAATTTTATATATATCTATTATTATTATTTATAATAACGTGTTTATTTATATAAATAGAGAATTTTTATTTTCCATTTTTTATGTTCCAGATTTTATTTTTTCAAGAAAGAAAAATCAATAAATCTTAAAACATGTTCATTATATATTTTTTCATATATTTATGTATATAAATATGGTATAAATCTATATTACTATTAAGTATTACAAAAATTATTACACATCCACATTACATACAGTTATATATAAAATTTAAAATGAGGAAAAGAAAATTCTCTTTTCGAAACAAAAACAAATGTTTAGAAATATGAATTAAATAAACGTATAAAATTACGCGATAATTCTGTATACAAATATTATATTATCCAATTAAAATTAAAATTATATTTTCATTCAAGTATGAATAAATAATTATGAATGGATGAATGGACAAGTAGAATGTTGGATTAGATGTTTGATTGGATGAAGGGATTGTTGTTTAGTGAATTGATTCAATCAATTCCATGGTTTGATTAAATAAATACGATATGTGATAATATAAATGTGATAATATGATAGGTGATAACAAATATGTTTTATGTGATATTTATAATATGTAATGTTTATGGTGGGCGTAGAAGAAATGAATTAATAGATGCGTGAAAAAAAATTTAATGTGTGTATGTTTTGAGTGTGTGCATATGATGAACTTTTCTCTTTCTCCTTATTTACCTCGTGGTGAATGTTTTATTTTATTTATTCTTTATTCTTTATTCTTTCCTAATAAATTGCCAAGAAATACTTTAAACAGTAAGAATTACAATAATGTAATATAAGTAAATAATGCAGTATGATGATAGAAATTTGTCGAACAGTTTTTTTAACAAGTGTACGACAACGAATCATCCTCATGGTTACGCTAACGTGCGACGATGCTTTAGGATGGGATGTTTACAAATTTTTATTTTAAGCCTGGTCTCTTTTTTTTTTTGCACAAAATCAAAATATTTATTATATAATATTGAAAAATTCAACCAGTTAATTAACAAGTTTTACAAATAAAGAAAATCAAAGAAAAAAGAATAATCTTTTTTTGATCAATTCATTATTTTGAATGAAAATTTTTTTATTAATTTAATATAAATGTGTTTTCTTTCTCTCACTCACACACACAAAAAATTATATTCGGGCAGTACCGTAACATAAATCTTTTAGAGAGGCATTTCACATATTATGAGTTGTATGATATTTTTACGCGATTTTATTATAGAATTTAATTGACTGTTTAATTAATAAGCAGTATATTTAGAAATTAACTGTATATTACGTTGATACATATTAAAAAATCCACACATATTTAAAGTAATAAATTATACGCAAGTCTTTTTCTATTTGCAATTATAATAGTTAAAATAGCAAAGGGTACATTATTGATATAAATTGAATGAATGAATAGCAACAGATAATTTAGATTGGATGAATGAATTTAGTGGGTTTAACGGTTTAAATGAATGAACAATTTATTTACTCTTATTTATATATTCATAGAAAGTAAATGCTAGAATGAGAATAATTTTTTTGCAAATTCCAAATTTGGTCAAGATCGTTCTTTTTTTAAATAAATACGTATCATTTATATATAGATAAATACTAGAATTTATTTGCAAATTCTGCAGGATTACATCATTTTTAAAGTGTAAATGTCAAATACGAACCTAATTACTTTTTTTTTCAACAATGAATGATTCAGTAACCATTGATTCATTCGGCTTATTCCCTAAAAATTTTAAGTCATTATAACAAATAAATTTTCTCATCTAACTTTTTCGTATACCTTTTATTACGTTATCAACGGCAACAATAAAAGACTTTTCCCGGATTGCTTATCACGTGTTGTTTATGTGTTAACGGTAGTACAGATGATACACAGACATCAAAACGCACAACAAACCGTTTTAAATCTCATTATTTTTACAAATTCAAACATCATTATTAATATAAATAAAGTTATCCTATTAAAACATCATTTCTCTTATTGAATGAATATCCATCTATCTAAAGCTATTCGGCTGTTGACCGCCGAATTACATATAAGCTTTACCCAAGAGTATCGCTTCCTAATATGAAATTTATCTTTGAGGTTTAATTTATTGATCCATAAATAAAAATTCTGTCTTGTCTTTTGTAAAATATTCTTTAAAAGTTGGTTTTCACGTTGCCGATTATTAAATTGATCAATATGCAAAACTTACGAAGATCATTACTAAAATGAATATTATGAGTAGTCCCAACTTACTGCGTCACAATGGAAATTTTTTTAGTCATGTGATATTTCCTATTCATTCCGTTTACTTCATTGACAATCACTTTGTCAACAGTTCATTTCGTCGACAAAAATTTCACTGGTAGTTAGTTTACGTGTGATGGTGACGATATTGCCACAGGCTATTTTGGTAATTATAATAATAATTGATGGTAATTATTGTTTTTAATGAACAGTAAGTATTGAGATTTCGTTTGAATCAAAACTCAGGAAATATATATTTTTCTAATGATTATTGTTTTCAAGATGCATGAAATTCAGTCATTAATATGCTTGCAAACTATTAGTATCCAAATTTTCTTTTTATCTAAATTTCCTGATACTTCTAAAATCATGATTCCTAAATTCAATCAGGATTAAAAACTAAACAAATTATATTAATAATTATAATCAATGCGTATGTTGCGCTAAAATCATATGAGCTGTCGACGGAATGAACTGTCGATGAAATGTGTGTCGATGAAATGTGTCAGACCATAGGGATTATAGTGGTGAAATTTAGACCATGTTTACCTAGTACAATAATGAGATACAAGGCTTGAAATATTTACTTTACATATCAAAACCATACGTGTTAGAGGCCTGCACGGGTCATCATAATTGAATAAATACCCAACCCGAACCCGACTTGTACACAAAAAAATTATAAAAATCTCAACCCGAACCCGACTTGTACACAAAAAATTATAAAAATCCCGACTTGTATACAAAAAATTTCAATCCAAACCCGAACTCAACCCGTTTTTTATTAAATGATGTTGTAACACGATTTTATTTATATTTTTTTTAAAAAAAGTTTACAAAGTTGTTAGTTGCTTAATGAACTTCTTAATACAAGAATACTATCAACTGTTTGTGGATTTAAGTTTGAGCGAAGTTCATTGACTGTAAGTCCAGCTGCACTGGAACATGGGATTGAAAGATAGTAGGCAGCAAGCCTTGAAAGTCTTGGATAAACATGCTGATGGTCTTTCCACCATTCTAAAATATTAAAGTTGTCATCTTTTTGTATTTTTGTTGATAAATACAAATCAACTTCATCTTTGTCATCATCTTCATCATCACTATCATCATAATATTTGCTAAAATCACCTAACTCTACGTTTGAATTTGAAGTTGAAATTGTAGTTGATAATATTGCTTGCATAGAATTATCATCATTATTACTGTCAGCATCAACACTATCATCATTAATTGTTAGATTGCCACAATGTCTTTTAATTTCATTTTTTACCCAGATGGCATCATCAATTTTTTCAATTTTTTCATAAGAGGATCGAAAAAAATGGCTAATTTACATATATAATTCATTTAAATTCGGGTTCGGGTCGGGTTGAAACACGGGACCCAACCCGATGCAGGCTCTAGCTGTAGCAATATTTTTGTCAATTACCATTTTGTTTTCTTTACATTGTCCATAAACTCTTGATATAATTGTTTATTAGTTAATTTTCAACATATTGAAATAAATTTTCTGGAAAAGAGGCATATTATGATCCCAGCAACAGACGGTTCTTTTATTGGATAGGGAAAGCATCAGGTGCTATACTTTACAGAATAATAATAATATTAGCCGCGGAATTTTATTAATTATCACGTACGTGAAGTATTAATTTGTTATTTATCGCTTATTTGGTTTATTTGAAAACAAAAAGGATTAGTATGTTTTATTCTAACAAGGTTTAAAAATAAATGGCAAATCGTACAGTTCCAGATGCGATCGCTATACATGGAACAAATCCACAATATTTAATAGAAAAAATTATAAGGACCAGGATATACGAATCTCTTTATTGGAAAGAATATTGTTTTGGATTGACAGGTAAATGAAAAAAAAAATTTTTGAATTCATCTGGGGCTTTTTTAAAAAAATTTAACAAAAAAAAATTATATTAAGCTGAAACTTTAATAGATCGAGCTATTGACTTACAATCAATTGGTGGACAATATGGTAACCAAAAGCCTACTGAATTTCTTTGCTTGACATTAAAATTACTTCAACTACAACCAAGTAAAGAGATCATCATAGAATTTATTAAAGATGAAAATTACAAGTATGTGATAAAAAACATTGTATCTTCTTTTTTAATATATATACTCATAAGACTGTTTTTTTTATATATATAATTTAGATATTTGAGGGCATTAGGTGCATTTTACCTAAGGCTTGTTGGAACCTCTTTAGAAATTTATCAATACCTTGAACCATTATTGAATGACTATCGTAAATTAAGGAAAAGAACAATAGGTAATTACTATTTACCAAATTTTTAATTGGTTTTTTGATTTGAGTTAAAAATTGAAATATATAAATTTTTTTTGTTTAAGATGGTGGGTTTATAATTGTACATATGGATGAATTTATCGATGAATTGTTACGTGAAGATCGTGTATGCGATATAATATTACCTAGAATAATTAAACGACATGTATTAGAAGAAAATGAAGATTTAAAGCCGCGTGAAAGTGGGTTATGTGATTAATGTGTTCAAATGGGCAGAAATTTATACTACATAAAGAGGTTATTGATATAAACACTACGTTTCATCCACTTCAATTCAATCAATATAAATTTAAAATTTTATTAATTAATAATTTATATCTTCATTCTGTTTGGAATATAATTGCTACCAATAATACCAAGAGTATCATCATCATCATCATCATCATCATTGATAATTCCTTTGCCTTTCTTCTCAACAATTTGAAACACTCTATATTCATCAATAGAAAACCCAGATCAAATACTAAATTCGTAATTGTGTTAAACACAACAAGATGCATTATTTTCCTTAAAAATTTCACCTTTCAATCCACCTCCAAAACATGGTCCATAATACATACTTTGAAAAATTGCTTTTTCATGATTTGCCACTCTAGTAATAATCGGATCAAATTTAAATACTTTATCATCCAATGAAAAATAAAATTTTTTGCAGTTTACTATAGTTGGCACCAATTTTTTGGACCATATCCACTTAAAATTTCATTGGCACTCTCAACCATGAAATACTATGAATGTTGGTCCTTTCACATAAAGAATGAAATTATTTTGGGCGAATCTGCCGCAACAACAGTTTCAAATTATGCTTGTTTAATAATTTCTGTGACCAACCAATAAAATTACTAAAACAGATAAACAAATAAATAAAAGATAATTATTGTTATTTCTAAAAAAACAATTGAAGAAAATTGTTGATTA